GGCTTCAAAGTTATGCAATGGTAGGTGCTTTGGCTTTGCTCTAACCACACCTGGTACTGCTTTCTGACTTTCCAGGTGAGAATGCCTCCTGCCATAAAACAGATCCTTATCCTTGACATAAGGAGATGCTCTGTGACCTGCATTTGGGGCAGGACCTTACTTAAGTTTGGAGAAGCACCTTTCTCAGGAAGGCAGACATCTTGTGAAACAAGCGTTCGTTCTTGAGGTGAGGAACGCATCCCTCAGGAAGGAACACATCTTGTTGTCTCTCTTTAGAGCAAAGATAGCACTTCTATGTTTCTTTTTTTTTTTTCTGTAGGTCATAGGGCTTGAACTCTAAGCCTGGGTGCTGTCCCTGAGCTCTCCAGATAAAGGTGAGCACTCTACCACTTGAGCCACAGTGCCACATTTGGCTTTCTGGTGCTTTATTGGATAAGAGTCTCACAGACTTTCCGGCTTAGGCTGGCTTTGAGTTCTGATCCTCAGAACTCAGCTGAGGGGCTGGGAAGGTGGCTCAGTGGTAGAGTGCTTGCCTTGCATGCAAGAGGCCCTGGGTTCGATTCCTCAGCACCACATAAGCAAAAAGAAAAAAGCTGGAAGTGGCGCTGTGGCTCAAGTGGTAGAGTGCTAGCTTTGAGCTGAAGAGCTGAGGGACAGCGCCCAGGCCCAGAATTCAGGCTCCATGATCGGACCCTAAAAAAAAAAAAGAGAGAGAGAACTCATCTGAGTAGCTAGAATTACAGGCATGAGCGCCCAGCACCCGGCCACTTCTATGTTTCTAAATACCATATTTCTGAGTTGCCTTCACCAGGCTTGAGTTTCCTTAAATTATCCTGTTTCATTTCCCCTGTTTCATATACTTCCCTTACAAATACAGGAATATCTCCTGTGTTTGCTATAAGCTTACCACACCTCCTTTTTTCCTAGTCTATCTGGCTTCATTTCCTCTGAAATGACTGTTGTTCCCTTAATCTTAAGGGAAGTACATAAAAGAATATCTCCTACGTTTGTTGTATGCTCACTGTACCTCATTTTCCCTTCGTCCATCCTGCTTCATTTCCCCTAAAATGATTTTTGTTTCCTTAATCTTAGGGAAATTGTTGGACAAGCTTTAAACTTGAGTTTTTGAATTTCTGGCAGCCATTCACCATGAATTTTCCCTAGGCTATCCTACCTCAGTTCAGTGGTAGAGCAGGTGCTCAGCATGTTTAAGGCCTAGCTTGCACGCGCGTGTGTGTGTGCGCGCACACACACACAGTATGTACTATTAAGTAAACAGGGGTCCAGTATTTTTAGTACAAAACAGACTGCTGCCAAATGCTATCACAGGGAAAAACATTCATTGGGCTACAAATGACAGAATCAAAGCAGTATCAGTGGGGTGAAGCAGAACACGCTTCAGGACTTGGGAGGCAGCAGTAGGAGGATAAGTTAGAGGTTTGCCATGCAGTGAAACTCTGTCTCAGAAAAAAAGAAGAAAAAAGCAGTACCACCTGCAAAGCAAGGATGTGGTAAAGTCAAGTGCCTCTGTGCTGAAGGTTGGCTGCTGCTGGTGGAATGCCAAATGTATCTGATTATTTAATAAATTCCACTTGTGTCAGCTAATGTGCAAAATTATGTCCTCCAAATAAAATGGGAGATATTCTGCTTCCTACTAAAACTGTGTGTGTGATGGGGGAGAGGGGGGTGTTGTGGGGCGATGTCCTGGAGCTTGAACTCGGGGCCTGGGCACTGTCCTTCAGCATTTTTTGCTCAAGTCTAGTGCTCTGTCATTTGAGCCACAGCTTCACTTCTGGCTTTTTAGTGATTCATTGGAAGTAAGGGTCTCATGGATTTTCCCGTCTAGGCTGGCTTCAAACCTCGATTCTCAGATCTCAGGATCCTGAGTAGCTGGGATCACAGTCCGTGTGCCTGGCCCTCCTGAACAGTTTAAGGGAGATCTATTATCTACCCAACAGTTCCACTCAAATTATTCCAGCCCACCGTCCGCATCTGCCTCCAGCTCCCGTGTTCCCACAAAGATGGGAGGGTGGCCGTGTAACTGTGGCTTCCACTGAGATTTTCGTTTACAAAATAACATCTATGCCGAAAGGGCCAAACAATGTCCCAGCTTTCCCTGGCTGTGGTCCAGTGTGCCTGGTGGCCGGGGCGGCTCCGGCGGGGCAGACGCCTGGCCTGGAGGCCCCAGCCCTGGGGTGGGGACAGGCAGCAAGAAGTTAAAAAAATTAAAAATAGCGATCTGTTTCGCCGACGTTCCCAGTTCCGTGAGTCCAATTCAACGAGCGCTTGCTGAACTGGCTTTGTCCCGGGGCCCCGGGGACGCGGGCCATGTCCAGGTCCACCGGGGCAGTGCGCCGACCAGCCCGCCCCGACGGCCACGCCCCGCTCCCAGCAGCCCACGGGGCCCCACGCAATACGGCAGCCGGCAGCCTCCGCGGGGCGCCCCGCCCAGATCCCAGAGCGGGCCCCGCCCCACTCGCGGGCGCCCCGCCCACCGCGGGCACGCCCGGCCAATCCCGAGCGCCGCTGCCGGCGGAAGTGGGTCTTACGCCCGTGCCGTCCGGCCGTCCACTTTCCGCTGCGGACCACAGCCTGGTGGTCTCTCTTTCCTCTGCGGTGGGACCCCCGCGGGCCCGGGCGTCAGAATTTCCCCGAATGTGCCCGCGCTGCCCCCGACGTCAGGGCCACCCACTCTTCCGCGATCTCCCCCGCCTGACCTTTCTGGCTCCGCGGGGGAACTCCGCCCTGCCGGCCTGACCGCAGCCGCCCGGCCCCTCACTGGGCGCGGATTCGGTGTCCCCAAGGGCGTACCGAGCCCGGGCGCGGGGCCTCCTAGGCGGCCAGCTCAGGACAGGTGCGGGCGGCCCTAACGTCCACCGCACGAGCAGCTCCGCAGCCAGGTCCGCCCTCTGTCCAGGGAGCCTCGGGAGAGCTCAGGTTCAAGTAGGAGTGAGGTGGCTGAAGCCGGGCCTGGTGGCCCACGCCTGTGATCCGAGGCACTCGGGAGGCTGAGAGCTGAGGATCAGGGTTTGAAGCCAGCCTGGGCAGGAGACATTCCCAGTGAACCACCAAAAAGCCAGAAGTGGAGCTGTGGTTCAAGTGGTAGAACACCAGTCTTGTGTGAAAAAAGTAAGGGACAGTGCCTGGGTCTTGAGTTCAAGCCTCAGACACACACACACACACTGGTTGAAATCTCATTGTGGCTGTGATGTTACTCACATTCTCCATTTTTGTCCTGTGAACTTCAAGAAGAGGTTTGTACTTCCCACAATGCATAAAAACTTGATGCTGAGTAAGAAAGGTAGTGGATAGGGTGAGGTTGGTCTGCCTGGAAATAGGAACCCAAATTGAGAGGTGCCTCCATTGCCAGTACCAGAGCAACACCTTTTGATAGTCAGGATTTTTTTTTTCCTGTGAGCTATTACATGTGCAAGGGGAAACATGTATGAACTGTGAAGACCGTTATGGGCCTTCTGATATTAAGTAATTTTGGTGGGCAGGGTGTGAAAGTTGGCATCAGAGCTTCTGAACTTGACCCAACATTACACAGGACCTTGTACAGTCATTTCCTCCCTCTGGACCTGTCTTCATTTGTGAAATGGAAATTATGACTCTTATCTTCTAAAAGTCAACACAAACCACCTTAAAGCCAATACATGAGAAAGAAAATACTACCATGCTACTTAGAAATGAGGAGGTACTTGCCAGCAGAAATTATCTAAAGAGCTGAAAATACTTGCTTGTGAGGAGCAGGGCAGAGGGGCAGGAGGCTTGAGGGTGGGTGACTGCAGGAGTCAGCCACTGCTCTAGCAGTCCTGACCCCAGCAAGTGGCACCTGGCTGCCAGGACTCAGCCCCTGCTGCAGGCTGACTGGCAGGCTGGCCCTCAGGCTTCTGGGACTGCGTCCCTGCACATCTTCCTATGACAACTCAATATTCAGACGTGCCGAGTTCAGACCTCACCACCAGGCTAATACTCTCCAAGTTTGTGGATGGTTATCTGTTGACATCCCAGTGGTCGACATAAAGCTGTATCCAATATCAAGGGGCAATAAATACACCCACGCAAGTAGGAGAATGATTATTTCTGCAAAGAAAAATCCAGTCTATCATAAGTAATGCTTGAGCTTAAAAAACTACAAGTCGGGGCTGGGAAGGTGGCCCAGTGGTAGAGCGCTTGCCTTGCATGCCTGAGGCCCTGGGTTCGATTCCTCAGCACCACATAAGCAAAAAGAAAAAAGCCGGAAGTGGCGCTGTGG